AAGGTGTGTGCCATTATGGCTACTGAGATTAAAGGTGTGTGTTACTATAATCTGGTCTGTAAGGCTGACCAGTGGGACTGTTTTACTCAGATCTTCAGGTAGTCTTTATTTATTAAAATACAGTTGAAACGCCACTACAGATTAGCTGGATGCCAGGAACTGAACTGGAGAGGGACGGAGAAGAGGGAGAGAGCTAGAGTCTTAAAAGAACTCGTACACTAAGGCTTCAGAAACACATCATTTAGTTGGTAACAATTCTTGGGGAAAACTATTCTTCAGAAAGAACGGAACGCTACACAATTGTGGGAAAGTATGGTGGTAGAGGGCACTAATGATTTTGTTGTCATTTAGAGGAAAATTTAAGCTTTCTTCCAAAACAGTCAGAAATACTATTAAAGTCATTCTTCTAATTATGTATCAGCACTGTTAAGAGATTACTTTTCCAATATTTCAAAAGATTGATACTAGATATCAAAACACTAAGAACAAACCAATTTAAACTTATATAAATTTGTATCCTGTTTTAAAGTTAAATTTCTACCAAATATGATTATTAGGACAGTCTCAGTAAACATTTCATGATTTTATCCTTTAAAAGAATTCTATTTTAAATTTACTATGCTATTGTTTTATGCATATGAATGTTTTGCCTGCATGTATGGTTGTGCAACATGTCTATGCACAGTGTTCACTGAGGCCAGAAGAGGGCAACAGACACCCTGGAACTGGAGTGACAATTATAAGCCACTACATGGTGCTGATGATCCAAAGCAGGACCTCTGAAAGAGTAGCCAATGCTCTTAATTACTGAGCCACCTTTCGAGCCCCAAATGTTCTTTATCTAAAATGTGTGCGTGTTGTGTGTGTGTTGTGTGTGTGTGCACAGAAGAGCGAGAGGAGAGTGAAAGTTATGCTTAGAGGTTTTAAGTATCATTTTTATTTTTAAAACTAACTGCTTAAATGTGCCTTGCCCTCTCAGAAAAGGGGGGGGGGTATGTGGAGGGAATAGGAAGAATGGAGGGAGTAGAAACTTTGATTGGTATGTATAATGAAAAAGATTGTTTTCTTTTTTAAAAAAGAAATTAAATTTTAAAAACTAACTGCTTAAAGTTAATAGTTTTATCTGAAATGTAGCTTAAAGTATTTGCTGTCATCCAGATGACAGACCATAGTGGCAGACAGAGCTTTGTGAGTTCAAGACCAGCCTGGTCTCTATAGTTCCAGGCCAGCCAGGGTTACAAAGTGAGGACATAATGAGAACCTGTCTCCAAACAGAAAAGAGAGAATTTCAGATTCTAGACGATAATATCAAAGCACTACTACGGCATGGGGTAAACTATTCTGATTCTAAACAATGTGCCAACCCAAAAAGTATTTATTTAAGAGCTAAAACTGTAAATGGAAATATAAGCATTATATTATAGGTTATAAACTCCTACTAATTCCTACTTTTTAGCACCAAACCCTACACACAATTTAAAAAATAGGAGGCTGGAGATAGAGCTCAGTGGCTGAGACCTTGCTGCTCTTGTAGATAGCTAGAGTTAGTTCCCAGCACCCACATGGAGGATCACACTATCTGCAACTCCAGCTCCAGGAGAGCCAACACTTTCTTCAGATGGCTGTGGGTATATGTACATACTCACAAATAAAAATGTTTTTTTTCAAAACACAGTTTTGTCTTGTTACTTTTTTGTATAATTTTTTATTATTTATTGAGTTCTACATTTTTCTCTGCTCCCCTCCCTGCCTCTCCCCTGTTCCCTTCAATCCTCCCCCAAGGTCCCCATGCTCCTGATTTACTCAGGAGATCTTGTCTTTTTCTACTTTCTACTTCCCATGTAGATTAGATCTATGTAAGTCTCTCTTAGTGTCTGCATTGTTGTCTAAATTCTCTGGGATTGTGGTTTGTAGGATGGCTTTCTTTGCTTTATGTTTAAAAATGTATGAGTGAGTACATGTGATAATTGTCTTTCTGTGTCTGGGTTACCTCACTCAAAATAATGTTTTCTAGCTCCATCCATTTTCCTGCAAAATTCAAGCTGTCATTTTTTTTTCTGCTGTGTAGTACTCCATTGTGTAAATGTACCACATTTTCATTATCCATTCTTCAGTCAAGGGGCATTTAGGTTGTTTCCAGGTTCTGGCTATGACAAACAAAGCTGCTATGAACACAGTTGAGCACATGTCCTTGTGGCACGATTGGGCATCCTTTGGATATATACCCAAAAGTGGTATTACTGCGTCTTGAGGAAAGTTGTTTCCTAATTTTCTGAGAAATCGCCACACTGACATCCAAAGGGGTTGTACCAGCTTGCATTTCCCACCATGTCTTGTTACTTTTAAAAATTAAGATGAATATCTATTATATTAAATATGAAAGTTATATTTTAATATCATTTCTTGTACCAAATCAATGTGTATAAAATATAAGACTGCTCACAAAAACAAAAGTAGTGAGGATCCAGATTAAATTATATTTAAAATATATGCTAAAATTTAGAAAACAAAAAAAATAAAAAGAGATCACAGCGGTGGAAGAGCTCTAGAAATAGAAATAGAAATAGCAGAGCACAGGTGCTATGCTACGGAAGGGGAAATGGGGAAAATGGGGGAAACTGGAGCTACCACAGTGGAAGGGACAGCAATACAGAAAAGGTAAGGGAAGTAGACAATACTATGGATGTTTGGAAAAGCCATAGGGAATCATCTTGTTTGATGGTTAATCAGAATTATGTATATGTAAGTATATAGAGAGATAATATTCAGATAGAAAAGTAAGTAGGTAGGTATGTAGGTAGGTAGATGATAGATAGATAGATAGATAGATAGATAGATGATAGTAACTAAAGAAAGTTATACCACTTGAGGTGATAACATTCCCCCCAAGAGTCATAGACTAACTAACAAAAGACCCAGTCCTGGCATGGGAAACTCTCTTCAAACTGTTGGCCAAGAGAGTCCAAGAGACTTCAAAGCAATATAGGCTATTGCCATTGTCCTGGTTGCCTTCCAGAACTTGAAGGTAAGACCCTATTGCTGAAGACACCATGCAGTTCGGAGCCAAGATCTGACCTGGAAGCCTTCTCCCTGAAGACTAGTCTCACAGCATCTGAAGTGCTGTACAATCTGTCAAGGGAGAGAAGCAATAGTCTTACCCAGCCATAAAGCCTGTGAACCACAACAGTGACCAGCACTGCAAGGTTTCCCCAAGGATCCAACAGTGGCGTTTTATCTTGGGAGTAAATTACAGCCCCCAAATTGGACTCTTATTTAATAAGAGGGAATCCATGTCTGCTACTGCAAACCTAGGCAACTAGGCTAGTTAAGTCATAGAACTAGAGAGAATCTACTACTGACTCTTCCCCCAGACTACTATAATCTCTAACTGCCTCCTTAATCCTTATCTTTATGGCCTTATAGATGAGTGTAGTTCTTATTCCTCATCAGAGAAGCTTCTTTTTGCAGCAGACACAGGCCATTACAAAAAGTTAAAACTGATCAAAATGCAGAAAACAACTGAGCACCAAGTACACAGCCACACCTCATACATGTACAACACAACCCCTATACCTAAGGCTCAAGGAACATCACATTGAAGAAGCAGAAAGGCTATAAGAGCCAGAGGATCAGAACTTCTGCTGCAAGATAGCATCTTCTGTATACAACAGGGAAGCTGCACTAGTGCAATCTCAACAATATGGCTGCCTAAACTAAACCTGAACAGGGTCCCCACGCCTAGATGAAGAGCTACAGGCAATTAATGTCTGCCAACAGAGGGAGAATTAATCTTCCTCAGGATCCACTGATGGAGGAAGGTCATTGGTTAAATAATAAAGAAACTGCTTGGCCCTGATAGCTTAGAACATAGGTGGGTGGAGTAAACAGAACAGAATGCTGGGAGGAGGAGGAAGTGAGCTCAGACGCCATGCTCTCCACTCCCGGGCAGATGCGATGAATCGCCGACCCAGGATGGACGTAGGCTAGAATCTTCCTGGTAAGCGCACCTCGGTGCTACACACATTAATAGAAATGGGCTAGTCCAGGTGCGAGAGTTAGCCGAGAAGAGGCTAGATATAATGGGCCAGGCAGTGTTTAAATGAATACAGTTTGTGTGTCGTTATTTGGGGATATAAGCTAGCCAGGTGGCCGGGAGCTGGGTGGAACACAGCCCGCTGCTCCTACAACAATCCACAAAGTGGTCACCCCTAAAAAATATCCATACGAGCACACAAAAAGAACTTGGCAAGTTGTATTTATATATGTATCCATAAATAAATATGTATGTATGTATGTATGTGATAATAATCATAGAAAAAGAAGACATAAATTTGAGAGGGAGTAGGTAGAACATGAATGTATTTGGAGGGTATAAAAAGAGTGGAGAAAAGATGCAAACACAGTATACATGTGAACTTTTTTTTTAAAAAAAAAAAAAAGGTTTTAAAGTAAAAGGTAAGACCTGCCTCAAAGTGATGTGCCAGACTTTGTTGTCTCCCCTCTCTGAGTAGTGGATGAAGTAGGGTGGGGGGAAGGTGGGGGAAGTGGGAGAAGTGGAGGGAGTAGGAACTGAAACTGGAATGTAAAATGAGAAAAGATTGTTTTCAAAATTTTTTAATTAAACTTTTAAAAATTTACATAAAGTAAAAGGTAAAAAATAAAGAAATATATGCAAACAAACATGAATATGCACATATATTCAAATATGCATACGTGTTATCTTTTATATAATAAATTCCTATAATACATACAGTAATCATAAAGCAGGTAAGTTAAATGGAATAAGAAACCTTTTTGAATACCTTGTCAATCCCTTTAGTAAGTACAGAACCATCATTTAACTGAAAATCGGGGTGGAAAACTAAGGCTTGTTCTAGAGTAGAGTGTACTCGTAAGCATCAGTCTTCAACATCATTCCCAACAACCTTGTTTTCAAGAATATTGGATTTATACTATTTCACATGGAGTAAATTGAACAAAATCAATACCAAATAACATACCTTTCAGATAAATTAAGTCTTTGGTGAAGAGGGTCTAATTTCTGACATGTCTCTACGCTGTCAACAGATGTCGAAGGCAATGACTCTGATTGCACCTTGCTGGTATCACATAAATTAGCATCATTTCTAGGTAGGGTCTTTCTGAATTTTCGTCCTAAGTCCGTCCATAGAACATTCGTCAACATAACTCTGAGATGCCTGTTATATACATAAATAATACATATGGTTCTAAATGTTGTATAATACATGAATTTATTACAAACTGTAACAAGTATCTCCTAGAATTCTGAATTTCAGTACTTTATGAAATTTAAATACTTATAAACATTATAAGTAAAAAACAAATGTCTAGCCATTCTCACTGACACATTATAAAGTAAAGCCTACTTCACTTACATTGGGATTTTCTTCAGAATTGGATCAGATCATCTTCACACATCTGTACAGCTTTGGATTCCTAGCCACTCACCTATGCTTTTCCACAGTAGTGGAAGGTGGATGTGCATCTGCAGATCTCATCACAAAGGCAACCACTTTCTGAATTACGTGCGTTTTTGCTGTAGCATGCAGCAATTTAGAAAATACATTAAAACTAAAAGGAAGTGATACTCTTATTTTACTTCATCTCTAACATAGATAAATAAAACATTTGTATTTAATGATAAAAACTGTGGGGCTCTCTGGAAACACTAGGACTGGCAGAGAATGATCTTCTTAAGGCAAGAAGGAAATCAGGTTCAATGCAACTTAGCCAGTGTTGGTTCAAATTTCTAGATTCTGACTTCAAGCAGTTTATTTTAGCCATATTTAAGCACAGAACAATTTGGGGGTAAAAAGGTCTCCCGCTGATAATTAACCAAATCCTATTAAGACAAGCTTACAGTGACACTCTTTACAAAGCACATACAGGCTCTTCCGCAAAGATGGTTTCTGTTGACTCAGAAACAATGCTCAAAATTAAGGGTCTATGAAGCCCAGCGGTGGTGGTGCACGCCTTTAATCCCAGCAATTGTGAGACAGAGGCAGGTGGATCTCTGTGAGTTCGAGACCACCCTGGTCTGCAAAGTGAGTTCCAGTACAGCTAAAGATAAACAGAGAAACCCTGTCTAGAAAAACAAAAATAAACAAACAAAAACCGGCTAAGGGTCTATGGAGAATGACTGTGGCAAACATGATGGCCTAGGGGATTTAGGTGAAGCATGGCCCTACAAAGAGCAAAAAATCACTAGGTGATAAAGTACACCCATTCCCAGCTTTCTGGTGGAAAGCAGGTAAACATGTCTTTCCTTTGAAGAGACAAGCCTGCGTGTTTAACCTTCCTGGTTTCCCTAGTGATCATCTGTGAGTACAGGGACCTAATGTTTTCAACAAATAAAATCAACAGACAGCCTGATAAATGCGAGCAATTTCCAATTTTTGCTTCATCATATTTGTGCATTTATTCATTTTACATGTTGCTGACAATATCTAAAAACTATGTCCAGTCCTCCTATCACGGAATAGTTTTTGCAGGGACATAAGCAGGCTACCACGCAGGCTTCAAACAATGTCAAATGAGGAAGAGCTGAAATGTTAATCACAAGTGCTAAATCAGAAGTCTATTTGATGCCATAGGAAGCACTTTTAGACATCTTTTCATTATTTAACAAATACAATAATATTAAAAAACAGAAAACAAAATGCTCACATATTTTCATAATAATACAGGAAATTTCCAAATGCATTTTAAAAATGTTCTTAGCAGCTATTTGGGGACAGACAGAGCACCAGACAACCTAAAAGGAACAAGGTCCAAATCCTAGAAGAACTTCCACGGAAACATGTTAACTAAGAAAAACAAACCAAGGTATAGAGAAAACAGAAATGAGTTGATATCTCTTTAAATCAGTATGTTCAGCCAATATTTATGGAACATTTAACAAAATAACTATGCTAGTAGGATTTAAAGACATATCAACAAACAAAATGGTTCTTGTTCAAACCATCATTTAAACTAACTGAGAAAAAAATAGGAAGAAGTGATACTGTCATTTCCTCTGAACCAAGTCAAGAAGGGTTTTGTTATGACGATGCCTGTTACAAGTCTGGACATTAATATCCCACACAAGCTCATGTGTCCAAACACCTACAGATGTTCTGCAAGGCTGTAGAGCCTGGCAGTACACATGGGTCACTAGGAGGTGGTTTTAAAGGTTACAGTCTGGTCCTGCTTTTCATCCCTGCTCTTTGCTTCTTGGTTCAGCAGCTTTGTGAACAAACCTGGCAGCTACCATGTAGCTGTTCCCTCATTCCTGTCCTACCAAGATGGACTCAATTCTGAAAGCAGGAGCTGAAAATAAACCTTTCCTGCCCTAAATTGTTAATAACCTTTAAGTTAAAGTGTTAAAGAATGCAAGGCACTCTAACAAAGAAAATTGGCAGAAGCTGAAAAAAAAAGTTTAAGGAAACATAAACGTTCTATATGAGTATTGCCTGGTCAAAGAAATAAAAAACAAAATTTATTAATTTGTTTTAGCTCTCAGCTGCAGTTTCTCCTCCCTCTCCTCCCAGTTCCTCTCCCCCCATTCTGTCTTCTGTTCCCATGCCCAATCTACTCCTCCTCCATTTCTGTTTAAGAAAGGGCAGGTCTCCTGTAAGTATCAACATATCAAGTTGTAACAAAACTAAACACCTCCCTATGTATTAAGGCTGGGCAAGGTGACCCACAATGAGGAACAGGGTCGCAAAAGCCAGTAAAAGAGTCAGAGCCAGCCCCTGTTCCCGCTGTTAGGGATCCCACAAGAGGGCCAAGCTACACAACTGTAATTTATGCAGCATGCCTAGGTGAGTCCCATGGAGACTCCCTGGTTGTCAGTTCAGTGTCTGTGAGCCCCTATGAGCCCAGGTTAGCTGATTCTCTGAGTTTTTGCTGTGTCTTTGACCCCTCTGGCTCTCACGATCCTTTCTCCTCACTCTTCTGCAGGATTCCCCAAAATCCAACTAATGTTTGGCTGTGGGTCTCATCTGTTTCCATCAGTTGCAGGATAACGCCTCTCTGATGACAGAAATTACATTATTTATCCAAATGTCTAGAGTGAAAGGAACCATGTATGACCAGAATAAGACTGTGTAATTAGTATATGGTGGACTGTATGAAGGAGGTAAGGGTTTTTTTTTATCTGTATTTTATGTGCATTGGTATTTTGCCCACATGTATGTCTGTGTGCGGGTATTGGATGCCCTGAAACAGGAGTTACAGACAGTTATGAGTTTCCATGTGGGTGCTGGGAACTGAACTTTGGAACTATAGAAGAATTTATGCTTTGTTAAAACTGAAGATGTGATATGTGTGTGCATGTGTGTGTGTCTATGTGTGTGCATATGCATGTACAGATGGGATACCCATGGAAGCCCAAAGAGGGCATCAGATTCCCTGGGGTTGGAATTACAAGTGGTAGTAAATTGCCTACTACAAGTGCTAGGAGCCCAAGCACTTGTAAGAGCACTAATGAGCCACATCTCCAGTTCCATGAGGATGGAATTTTGTAATAGCAAAAGTGAAACAGTTGGAGACAGAGATGTAAAGAACAAAGCTTTTTAAGTTACAAAATAAACTATCATAAATTCAATTTTAATATTATCAATTTAGAATGGTAAATATAATCCACACAGTAACCCTAAGTAAAACAAAGAAATACACTCAAGCAGAAATAAGAAAGGGATTATATTATCTAATTAAACAAAACAAACAAACAAACAAGTCAGGAAATGATCAGAAAAGTTATATAGGAAAAAAAAACAAACATTAAACAGTGACATAAGTAAACTTGTCTCTCAGAGTTGGAGAGATGGCTCAGCAGCTGCTATTCCAGAGGACCTGAGTTCATTTCTCAGCAATGACATGGTGGCTCCCAACCACCTGTAATGAGATCTGGTGCCCTCTTCTGACCTGCAGGGACATTAGTAGGCAGAACACTGTATACATAATAAATAAATCAAGAAAGAAAGAAAGAAAGAAAGAAAGAAAGAAAGAAAGGAAGGAGGGGAGGGGAGGGAGGGAACTTGTCTCAAAAACAATCAAAAGGGTCTCACTCAGCAACACCCCAGACACACTCTCCCTGGATACCACATGGAATCAGGTAGAGATTTTTACTCAAATTCCAATTCCCAAGTCTCATCTAGAGCCCTGTAGCCGACCAGCTGTGTTGGGGGGAGGATCTTCCCTTTCTTCCTGCATTCCATCTGGACTCTACAGATCCTCCTTGCAGACTCAACTGGCCTTCCTCCTGTGGACCCTCTCAATGCTTCCACACTTCTAGCCCATTCCCATTCCTTCCTGTCCACTCTCAATACCTTGAAACAAATTCCACCCAGGCCCTCCAGTGACTACATCTGGTTGAAACTCAGAAGCTCTCCGTACCAGGCAGCCCACAACCACCACAAGCTCCTAAGATCCAGAGAGGGCAATAGAAACCAAGGAATTCTGGAAAACCCTAAAAAGACAAGACCAGATATCAACACCTAGAATTGCAATCATCCTGTAGTAGTTTGAACGTAATTGAACACCAATAAGATCATAAGAAGTGGCACTATTAGGAGATGGACTTTGTTAGAGTAGGTGTGGCCTTGTTGAAGGAAGTGTGTCACTATGGGGATGGGCTTTGAGGTCTCCTTTGCTCAAGCTATGCTCAGTGTGACACACAGTTCAATTCCTGTTGCCTGCGGATCAAGATGTAGAACTCTTAGCTCTTTCTCCAGCACCATGTCCGCCTGCATGTCACCATGTCCCACCACAATGATAATGGACTAAACCTCTGAACTGTAAGCCACCCACAATTAAATGTTTTCCTTCACCAAAATGTTACAAGAACAATCTCTAGGCAACATACTAAATTCTCCTCTGAAACATCCTGAACCAGGCCCCCACTGTTCAATCACTCTCCAGTCTTCCATGCTCCTATTAGTATGGCCCATTAAGCAGTGCTTAACGTATTCCACTGCTTTCATAACCCAAACTCCCAAGGTCCAAATTTCTCCAACAAAACATGGCCTATCACAGAAATACCACCAGTCCCTGGTACCAACTTCTGTCTTAGTTAAGGTTTCTATTACTGTAAAAAGATATCATGACCATGGTAACACTTATAAAGAAAAAATTTTAATTGTGGGTGGCTTACAGTTTCAGATTAAATCCATTATCATGACAGGATATGGTAGGACATGGCAGCATGCAGGAAGACATGCTGCTGGAAAAGGAGCTGAGAGTTCTACATCTTGGTCTGCAGGCAGCAGAAGTAACTGTCACACTAGATGTAGCTTCAGTATAGAAGACTTCAAAGCTCACCACCATAATGATACATTTCTTCCAACAAGGCCATACCTACTCCAAAAAAGCCACACCTTCTCAGGTCATTTTCTTTAAAATTATCACACAGACTATACATCCATCAATGGCTGAGTGGATAAAGAAAAAGTGATATATTAACATAATATAATATTACTCAACTGTTAAAAAAGATCAAAAGTGGCATACTAACCTAATATAATATTACTCAACTGTTAGAAAAAATAAAATTCTCAGGTAAATAGATGGAGCTAAAAAAATCATCCTGAGTGAAGTAACCTGGACCCAGAAAGACAATATGATATATATTCACTTATATGTGGATGTTAGCTGTTAAGTTTCAATAAGCAAGCTACAATCCATGTAACCACTGATGTTAGGTAGAGAAAGGAACAAGCGGAGAGGATAGGATCACCCCAGGAGGGAAAAAAAGAATACATAGATACGAAAGGATTGGGAGGAGGAAAGGAATGAAATAGAAGAATCAAACAGACAGGGAAAGGGAAAAAGAGGGCCAGGGAAGGAATACAAAGAGAAACAGCTAAAACTAAGAACCACTGAGGGATCATATGGAAACCTAATACAGTAAAAACTTCCTAAAATATAGACACGTATGCAGGTGATCTAAATGGAATTGTCAAATAAAAAGGGAGATGGAACCCCAACTAGACATCTCTCGTCACCAAATGAAGCCTGTAGTTCCAGATGGACTACATCTACTTGAGCTGTTGGTCAAAGCCCTATGGGTACCCTAAACAATCCAGGCTATTGCCAAGGCCATTGGCTGCTCTTCACAAAAAAAGAAGAAAAGACCCTACTGCCAAAGATAATGCCTACAAAACTCACTCAACACAGAGAAGTTGAGCTGGTGCCCAACTAGAGCTTTCACCCCTACTGACTAGTGTTTGTGGTACCGCAAGGTACTCTGCATACCACCAAAACAAGGTAGATACCAACCAGCTAGAAACACTTCAGTCTACAATGGTGGCATGCATGCAAGACGCACTAGTACAACAGTGGCACTAACCAGCTTGTGACGTAACCAACCAGTATCTGATTAGGTTTAAGGCACACTCCACAGGTGGAACCCATCCCCAACAGTGCTCAGATGCCATGAACCTGAGACTAGATAGGCCAGGGACCTAGGGGAAAGCAAAGTACTATTGTTCTGCTAAAGGAAAATAGCAATAAAATGGCTCCTAAGAGCACTCTGCTATATTCATAGACCAGTGTTTTGCTCGCCATCAGAGAAGATTTCTCCCGCAGGAGGTAGGGAAATAAATATAGAAACCCACAGCTCGACAATGTGCAGACTGTGAGAGACCTTGGAATACTCGGTTCAAAATGGGATGTATCTATCAATTCCCTCATCTCAGGGCTAAGGGGACCCTGTGAAAGGAAGTAAGAGCCAAGGGAATAGAGAACACCATGGAAACAAGACCTTCTAAACACAGCAGGATTGATCACATATGAACTCACAGAGACTGTGGCAGCATGCATGTTCTTCTCTGACCTTCACATGCACTCTCTGCCCCCCACACAAAATAAATACAAAAAAACTAACTCACATCCAGGCATGGATGCACACCTTTAATTCCAGCATTTAGGAGGAGAGGCAGGAGAACCTGGGCTACAAAGAGAAAACAAGAAAGGAAGGAAGGAAGGAAGGAAGGAAGGAAGGAAGGAAGGAAGGAGAAGGGGAAGAGAAAGAAAGAAAGAAAGAAAGAAAGAAAGAAAGAAAGAATCTTACTATCAAAATGAAGTACATGGGGAATATAGAGAAGATAGTGGGCTAGAAGCTACCTTCATTTTAGCCAAGAAAGGACAGCATAAGAAATAAGAGACTTGCTGGGCAGTAGTGGCGCACACCTTTAATCCCAGCACTCAGGAGGCAGAGGAAGGTGGAGCTCTGTGAGTTCGAGCCAGCCTAGTCTACAGAGCAAATTCCAGGACAGCCAGGGTTGTTACACAGAGAAACCCTGTCTTGAAAAACCAAAAAAAAAAAAAAGAAAAGAAAAGAAATAACAGACTCTATTCAGAAAGAGAAGAAGAGCTTCAGAAATCCAGAAAGGAAATGAAACATCAGAAAGGTAGGGGAAAAAAGACGGACAACAATCAGATGAGAAGTAAGGTAAACACGGTGTCATCTGGGCTCCCTGGCAAGGGGCGGGAACCAGAAATCACTTCCAAAAGTTGAGAGATGGGCAACCCTACTCTCAAGCGCATAGCCCTCACAAGTCTCAAACCCAGTGGCAAGTTTTGGTTGAGACAGAGCTCGGACAAAGATAAGTCCCAGTTTTCTACTATCTGATTTGATGAGTGCTGCCAGACAGCATCCTGAAAGACAGCCTAGCACGTAAAAACTGTGCTACCATGGGGGACTGAGAAAGCTAACAACCTACAGAGAGGACCCACGGAGGCAGTTATAGAAGCAGCTGGCCAGGAGTTATCAACTGGGATTAATTTAATCATGAGGCTGAGGCCAAGAACATATTAAACTCTAGAGCTAACTACTTACTGTTCACTGCCACAGAGTTCAAGAGGTCTGACATTCCAGGGATGTACCTGAGATCCACATCTGCTACAGCAGGTTTTCAAAGTCCATCGTACACTGGCTAATATTATGTCAACTTGACTCAAGCTCGAGTTATTGAAGAAGAGGGAGCCTGAGTTGAGAAATTCTTCCCTAAGGCTGGGCTACAGGCAAGCCTGTAGGACATTTTTCTTAGTGATCCGTGTGGGAAGCCCCAGCCCACTGTGGGTGGGGCCACAGCTGGGCAAGTGGTCTTAGGTTCCATAAGAAAGCAGGCTGAACAGCCAGTAAGCAGTACCTACCACCCCATGGCCTCTGCATCAGGCCTTGCCTCCAGGTTCCTGCCCTGTTTAGGTTTGTGCCCTGACTTCCTTTAAGGATGAACATCAATATGAAAGCATAAACCAAATAAGCCCTTTCCTCCTCACGCTGGCTTTGGTCACAGTGTTCCATTATAGCAACCTATGATGAAGCCTAGTTAGCAACCCTAAGACAAAACGACAGCTCCTTTGCCTATAATGATTTCAGTAATGTGATTGCTTCCTGACACACTAGGCAAACTCCCTCCAACTAAGCATGAGTCACCCTGGGAATATGACATAACCTATCCCTAGAGGATGAAGAACCTACCTAGACACAAGAGTTGCTGAAAGATGTCCCTTTTAAACCACTGATGACAAATATGAATCAAGAATTACTATCAGGGGCTGGAGAGATGGCTCAGTGGTTAAGAGCACTGAGTGCTCTTCCAGAGGACCTGGGTTCAATTGCTAGCACCCACATGGCAGCTCACAATTGTCTGTAACTCCAGTTCTAGGGAATCTGGCATCCTCACACAGACATGCAGGCAAACCGCCAATGAACATAAAATTTTTTAAATAATCCTATAATCCTTACATTGTCAGCTAAAGCTTATCAAGATGCACAAAACAATTAGCAAAGACAATCAATAATCACAGAAAGTTAAATCTTACATGGATCTTAGAGGACACTGAGTTCAAACCCTTCTACCTTAAATGTTAACTGAGCCTCAACAAGCATCAAATAATCATTCCTGTTCACACTGTGTATGCATTGTATCAACCGATCCTACACATAAATACCTATCTTACCTTTCTGGTGATGCCTTAGAAGTGACAGGATGCCCATGGACACCTTTTTTGGTTTTGTGGTCTAGACAGATGACTTTGTTTCTTAGGCTTCTTGTCCACTAAGAAAAAAAATTGACAAAAATATAATAATGTGATTAAGGGTACTTGTATTTTTACTTAGATATTTAAGACAATCAGTCCAATTCCTTTTTGCTTATTAATTTTTATCTTATGTGAATGAGTGTTTTGTCTACATGTGTGTCTGTGAGTCACACTGAGTACCTGGCACCTGAGGAGGCCAGGAGACAGTGTCAGGTACCCTGGAACTGGAGTTACAAATGGTTGTGAGCTGCCACGTGGGGCTTAGAATCAAACCTGGGCCCTGAGCAAGAGTATCTAGTACTTTTCACTACCGAGCCAAATCTTCAGCCCCCGAACCACATTCTTAGTAGTACAGAGAGAAAACTAAATGCAGTCTACAAAATACTGCCTTTTTCCAAGAGTTGAGATATAAATATACTATAACAATAAGAAAACATTTTAAAATATCAACATTAATCAGAAATCAAGATTGAGATTATAAAACTTAAATAACAATAATAACTGCAGCTGTGTTAGAAGGAAATGGTAATGGGTTAAGAGAGTAGCTCAGAGGTAAAACACTTGCCTAACATGCACACATTGCCTTGTACGTACAAGGCAATGGGCTAACCTATGTATGTTTTAATTACTTCATTTTGAAATATGTTATATGATATAGCACAATTATTACAGGCCAAATTAAATAAGAGCTGTGTCTATGAAGTGAATACATTTATAACAATTAGAAAAATTAAAAATGATTCTTTGTGAATTGCCACATGTGAAATAACAAGACCCATCATCAGGGTTTAGGTTTCCTATGACTAGAAGTTAAAATTTGGCTTATTAGTAGAAATAGTGGCATATGTCTGTAACTCCAGTACTCAGGAAGTGAAGGCAGGAGGATCAGGTCAAGGCACCTCCAGCTACACACTGAGTTAAGTCACGCTAGGATACATGAGACTCTGTTTTAAAAATAAAAGGATAAAAATAAGTTTAATATATTTTGTGGACCTAAGCACATAAGTTATTTATTCTCTTGGCCTTTGTTTCCTTATTCAAAACTGGGCATGATGATAAGAATAACTACTTTATCCTGTGAATGTGAGCATGCATGTATGCATGTGGCAGGAGATATGGTGTACTATGTATGCACACACCTGTGTGCACATGTATGACTATCTTTCTCTATTGTGCTCCACCTTCTTTTTGAGACAAAGTGTCTTTTACTGAATGTGGGACTGAGCATTTTGGTTGAGCTGGCTGGTCAGTAAGATCCAAGGGCTGTTCTATCCCCATCCCCCCAAAGTTGCGACTCTGGCCATGAAACATCACTCCTGTTCTTCCGAGGGAGACAGAGATCTGAACTCTGGTACTCGTGCATGCACAGAGAGCGCTTTTATCCACTGAGCCATCTCCCCAGCCCATCAGCAATTTCTTTGAAAACATGTGGCATCATCTCAGATGTAGTTTTAGTGACTTACGTACACTTCATCTAAAAGATATTTGTACATACTCTTGTAGTAAAATTGTTCATAATATTCAAAAGATGAAGCAACCCAAATGTGCATCAAGAGACGAAAGGTTAAACAAAATGAGGCATATTATTTACACGTAAACACATGGCATTTAAACAGAAAGCCTTACATTACAGAAAGAGGAAGCTTCTGAGTCTGGTGGCATAACCTGCAATCCCAGCATTTAAGGAAGTGAAAGCAAGATGGTCATGAGTACCAGGCCAGCCTAGTCACATGGTAAGACCATGTTTCCAAACATTTTCTTAAAAGGAGATTCTGAAACATGCTCCAATATGAGCAAGTCTTGGCATTAGTCTAAGTGAAATAATGCAGCAATAAGAAGACAAATATTGGATAGTTCCATTCAAATAACGTACTTATTGTAACCAAATTTATAGACAGAGGAGTGAGACTGAGGTGAGACAGTAAGAAACTATATTTTTATGGTTTATTTTATTGGGCACTGGTGTTTTGCCTGCATGTAAGTCTGTCTGTGTGAGGGGGTCAGACCCTCTGGAAATGAAGTTACAGTTTTGAGCTGCCATGTGGGTGCTGGGAATTGAACTTGGGTCTTCTGGAAAATCAGCCAGTGCTTTTAACCTCTGAGTCATCTCTCCAGCCCAAGGAACTATTAGTTAATGGGTACAATGTTTCATTTTGCAGGATGGATGGTCTTGATAGTTGAATAACAACAAAAATGTACAAAGTGTCACTAAACTCTTAAAATGATTGAGGGGGCATAAAAATGGCAGCCGCCCCCATGATCTGGGGGTATCCTGTTTATCTAGCACTTTGGACGATGATTCTGGCAGCCAGCTCTGGTGACTCAGTCCACAGCTGTGGTTCCAAAGGGAACCAGAAACATTTCACAATCCTATCCAAATACGGAGCAGCTGCTTTGGGATAAGCCAGGAAAGCAGGGTTGGATATGCCTCAGGACCACCAGAACCATCCTATACATATGACCTGTACAGCTGGTGCCTTTGGTTGCCACGCTCCCCCTGAGGGTAATGCTTGAGTGTCACTTCTTTCAAAGGAGAGACTAACACAGAGAACTGAGCAATTAAAGAAGAATATGGCATCACAATTGCCAATCTGAAAGATAAAAGAATTTGACACTAATTTTAAAACAAGGGATATCTCTGGAAAACCTAAGGATACCTAAGGATATTGTCATTGAAGCTGACCTTTGTCTAAACAACTTGGACCATGACCAGCTTTGTAACTCGGTAACGTAATACTTTTCTAAACATGGTCTGGGACCTGAAATATAAAATTCTCCATTGAAGCTTTATGGAATCTTTAGAGTCAGCCCAGGTGGTTCAGGTTTGATGCTGAAGCCTGGAGAACCTAAGCCATGTGTAATCGTCAGGTCACCACACAGTTGCACACAAGCAGCCTCTGGCCCCATCTATGATCTACTTGGCAGGCTGATATAGGGATAAGAGGTGCTCAAGGCTGTCCTGGAGTGTGTGTTTTGAACCTGCATAGCAAGACTGTGCTTCCACGGACATCCCCTCGGCAGCCGTCCTCAAGACACTGGTGATTCCTGGTCCTTAGCTGAAACCATGGGAGGACTATGAAGAAACACAAGGAGAGGCCTCAGCTAGCTTGATGGCAAAAATGACTCCTGAAGGGTACTCAGGTGACAGGGCCTCTAGAGGCTACAAAGGCACGCAACCCCCTGTGGACCTCCCTTGCTTTCTCCTGCCCTACCTTGGTCTTTCCAGAAGACCCACCCTCACAACCATGGCTGGTGTCTAGGCCCAGGTGGTGGCTGGGATACCCAGCATGTGTCACTTTCTTCTTAAAACCATTTGTTTAGCTTCTGAGTCTAATTGAAAAGCAGTTATGTAAGAGAGCAAACATTTGCTACCATGTTCTTTCTCCCTCTTCCAGCAGCTAACAGTTCCCAATAGCTCCACAGCTAGGGGTAGGACTGTGTGCCCAACTCCTCTGACCATGCTGGCATTTGGTCTGGCTTGGGCCTGCACAGGTTTTCTGCATGCTGCCACAACCACTGTGAGTTCGCTCCCATGTGCAGCTGCCCTGCTCTGCCAATGTCTCCTGTAGTCATTTTACCACCTCTGGCTTTGGCCCCTTTCCATAATGATCCCTGAGCCTTGGAGTTTTGCAATGCATCTGTTCCTTTAGGCTAAGCAATCACTGCTGGCATTGCCATTGCTCGTGGTTACCCTCCAGACTCCACGGTCACACCTATTACTGAAGATACCACACGACTGAATCATAGAACATGGCAGAATCAAGCTGGTACCACCTGGACACTTCATCCCTTCCTATCCAGCTTTCATAGTGCTGGACGGTGCTATGCACACTATCGGAAGAAACAGGAATTATCAGTCTTAGCCACCATGCGACAGACTTCCTACACTATCCTGCTGTGGGAACTCTGTTCCCAGAGAACTTAGTCTACTCCCCTTGCCAAAGGAATGCCTCTGCCTGCCAAAGGAATGCCACAATTAAGATGTTCCCTCCCCTGCCCCCTCATCAGTTTAGCATGCTCAAGGGCATCAGGCAAACAGCCCCTCAGCCATGGAAGCTTCTGCATCTGAGCCCATCTGGCGCTAGTGATGAGAGCCAGGCTATATTGTTCACTGTTTCTCTGTCCCTGCTTGGAACTTGGAGTTATCTAGAATAAGAGTTGTGCAGAATGCTCGTAAGACACTCTTGTGCAACATCACCTGGACTCTGCTCGTTCGGTTGAATCCTGAATTCTACTGCAATCCCTGGCAGCAGTAACGAGGCAGAGAGGGGAGAATCTTGATAAATCTTCTAGAGCTGTAAACCATACAAGCTACAATGATTGGCCTGTCAAGACATGTCCACTGGTGCAATAGTGGCGTGAACACCATGGGAGCAATCAACCACTTTCTAAAGGACTTTAAATCCCACTCCACAAGATAAAACCCATACCTGGCACCATTATAAGGTCATAAATCAGCCATGCATAAGGTACACTTAAAACTGAAGACCAAAGATCCTAATCTCCAGGTTCTATTCTAACATATATTAGAAATAAGCTACAATAAATCTTTAATTGCATAGAAAATCGAAAGCAACACATAAGAAAATAAAAACTTATTTACTAAAATATTTTAAACATATCAAATAAAACAATATATTTTAAACGTGAATTTACCCCCTTGGGGAGCTTCCAGCATTCTGAGCCTCTGAGTTTGGACAATGGTGACTGAGCAAGAACATCCTCTGACTTTACAGCTAAGAACTTTGTTATCTGAAACCAGGACAAGAAAACAATTAGTTTAACTGAAAGGTATAGAAGAACTAAGTCAACTAACAGAGGCACTGTCTATTGCTCTACAGAAATACTCTAATAGTTTTAAAGATGTCAATTAAATTCTTAATTTATAAGCAATTAAGTCCAGTTGTACTAAAAATATCTTCTCATGAGCAAAAAGTTAGGTAAATGAAGGATCATACTAGCTAGCCAGGCGGTGGTGGCATATGCCTTTCATCCCAGCACTCAGGAGACAGAGCTTGGTGGATCTTTGTAAGTTCGAGGCCAGCCTGGTCTACATAGTGAGTTCCAGGACAGCCAGGGCTACACAGAGAAACCCTGTCTCGAAAAGAATCACACTAGCTTCCTAAATACTATTCTCTTGCCTGGTCTCTTCCCCTTCTAATCTAAAAAGCAAGCTATAGTTACAGAACACGCAAAGGTACTCATGACTGTAATACCCAAAATATAACAAAGGCATTCGTCACTTATAAGTAAAACTCTGTACATTCAAGGCTGTTTCACATCACCCACAGATTTCAAACTCTGTAACTCAACTTTAGGGAGTTGCTAAGCTTTCTTTAGACATGTTGCATTATTTGGTATCTCTAGATGTTTTTCTACAGTATTTCTTCAATCTAGGTTGCTCTTCCAGGTATTTTTTTATGAAATACTGTGGACTTGTCTGAAAGCTATCTTCATAAGCATCATCTTTACTTGAAGCCACACCCTTCTCTGTATGTTAGAGTTTAGCACATTTATTTTAAATTATTTATATTACTCGTACTGTATCAGTTATTTGTCTAGATAGCTGTCTTCTTCAAAATGTTTAATCCTCTTAAACTGAGGATCCTGGCCATTCATTTTCCTTATTTCTTGTCTGTTTTTTTGAGAAAGGGTCTTTCTATGTAGCCCCAGCTGGCCTGGAACTTACTACACAAACCAGGCTGGCCTTAAACTTGTAGCAATCCTCCTGTCTCTGCCTACCACGAGATGGTATATATAGCTCATAATAGCTAAACTTTAAAAATGAATGCATGAAATGTAATGAGTTAGAAAACATGTTTAAAACTTAAATACCTAAAATTTGTAAATAACTAAGTATTAAATAGCACCCAATACTCACTTACAAGGGAGCCCAAGTTCAGTAGCAGAGTACCAGTATAGCATGTACACAAGGCCCTAGGTTCAATTACCAACACCTTCCTCCTCAAAAAGCACTAATATCAACTATATCCTTTCATCCATAGTGTTTCTTTTTTTAATATTTATTTATTATGTATACAATATTCTGTCTGTGTGTATGTATCCCTGCAGAACAGAAGAGGGCACCAGACCCCATCACAGATGGTTGTGAGCCACCATGTGGTTGCTGGGAATTGAACTCAGGACCTTTGGAAGAGCAGGCAATGCTCTTAACCTCTGAGCCATCCCTCCAGCCCTGAGAAGAAAGCCTAAGTCAGGAGGACAGAATAAATCTGAAAAAAGTATACCTCAACTTTTACGTCACAGCTTACATCAGTAAAGGACAGCTAATCTTCCTGAGCACCAGTAACTTCCTATTTATTGCTTTTCTGTATTAAAAAGTATTTCTTTGTAATTCTTCACTTGCAAAAAAAAAAAAATACCTCTAAAGCATTTGATTCAATTCTGTATACTGGCAAGGATCAAACTCAGGGAAGGCCTCGTGCAGGAGAGGCAATTACTCTATTACTAGCTAAGCCATATCTCTACCCCTTTAGTTAATTCATTCATTTGAAGCAAGGTCTTAGTAAGTTATATAGGTTGAAATTGCTGGTCTACAAAAGCTAGTTCCAGGACAGGCTCCAAAACCACAGAGAAACCCTGTCTCGAAAAACAAAAACAAAAACAAAAACAAAAAAAAAAAAAAAAGAAATTGAACTCATTCAGTAGCACAGGCAGGTATTAAATTGTCTATGTTTCTGCCTCCGCTTCCTGGGGAGCTGGGACTACAGGCCAGCCAGCTCCTCCGGGCCTAGCTCTTTGTATTTTCAATCAGGAAATGACAGGAGTAAGATAAAGGCTTCAGGCTGTTCAAATCCAAGGATCTTCTCTTATTTAGGTTATACATACTGTATTTTCTAAGAATAGCCCTATCAATATTCCCATACCACATGGTCATCTTATATTGTGATACCAATAACCCTGAAACATCAAAATCATATTTCTTCCCTTTGAACCTGCGCAGGCCGATGACTTCCAAAGCTAATCTATAAATTCAATACAGTGGCTAGCCATAGACGCACACCCCGTAATCCCAGGCCTGGATTGGAGGCTGAGGCAAGAGGCTCTTGAATCACAGCTAGTCTGGATTATATAGTTAGGACCTGTCTCAAAAACCAAACAAAATAAAATGGCAATATAGTTCCAGTGTAGCTCAAAACTGTCCAGAAACATTCCCTCTATGTTTCCTTCCCCTTCTGTCTCTACACCTTAGAACACACACATTGAAAGGGAGTCCAGATTTTTCTTTTAAATTTGGCTGCCCTGAAGCTCCTGAACTTTAAAGATTTCATGAAAAGACTGAAACAAAAGTAATAAATGAAACTATACATCACGATGTTTGAATCTAGCTATACCTAGGGATATAGCTCAGTAAGTAGAGTACTGACTTTACTGGATGAAGTCCTAGGTGGAGTCCCCTGCACTGCATAAACCAGATTGTGCACACCTGTAATCCCAGCACTCAGGAATGAGAGACAGGAAGCTCAAAAGTTCAAAGTTCATCTTTTTACTACATAGAAGTCTGAGGCCAGCCTAGACTACACGAGACTGCAGTTATCCGTAAGGCAAGAAAAGGATGCTTGGGGGTCAGCAAGACAGCTCAGTGTACAAGCACTTGCTGCATAACATGGGTGGCCTGAGCTCGCTCCCAGATCCCACTGTAGACACAGAGAACTAACTCTCTAAAGTTGGTCTTACTGTCACTCATGTGCCAGAGCTCATACACACATCATATACAGGAAGCCCACACAATAATAAAGTAATTTTTAAAGATTTCTGGGGGCTAGAGAGATAGCTAGGTAGTTAACAACACTGCTGCTATTCCAGAGGTTCAATTCCCAGCACCCACACGGCAGCTCAAGACTGTCTGTAACTCCAGTTCCAGGAGACCTGACGCCCTCACACAGACATACATGCAGGCAAAACATCAATGCACATAAAATAAAAATAAAATCATTTTTTTAAAATGCTTACCATTGATAACTAGGTAGGCAGAGAGAGAGAAACAGACACACAAAAGAGAAGGATGTACATCAAATATTAGTGCTTATTATATCTGGCTAGCAAGCTCTAGAAACAAAGATTTATTTATGTCTTTAATTAGGTTTATATGTGTGAGCTTGTGTAAGGCTTCAAATCCCTTGAAACTGGAGTTACAGGCAGCTGAGGACTGCCATCTGGATGCCAAACTGAACCCACATCCTCTGCAAGTGCAGGAAGTGCTCTTAACTGCTGAGAAATCTTCTACAGGCTCATCAGTGGTCTTTTTTGTTCAACTGAATTTTCTAATATCGCCATTAAAAAAAAACTAGTTTTGCTTTAAAAATAATTTTAAATACTAAGAAATTCAAAAGTATGTTTTATGCCACTATTAAGCAAAAGTGTTACCCTTTCAGTAATGTATTGCCACTAGCTACATTAAAAGAAAAAGTAATCAGAGAAACTAACTACTATCAAGAATTTAATGTTAATTTTCAAAAGAATTCTAGATTTTGTTTTGTTTGATTTTGTTTTTTGAGACAGAGTTTTCTCTGTGTAGACGTGGCTGTCTTAGAACTAGCTCCATAGACCTGGGGGAAGATGATCAAAACATTTCATAAAATTGTCAAAGAATCAATAATATTTTAAAAAAGAAAAGTGTTGATAATAGACAAAATGTTAAAAATAAGGAAAAAGGAAAGCCAGACTAAGACTAGTGGTATTTGACTGGAATCTGCAGTCTCAATAGTGAGTTCATTTTCTTGTATTTGTACAGAGAAAAAGAGAGACGAGGAATTAATGCAAGTGAGTATGTGTTTTCTAGGTCTGACTACTGACAATGCCTGGAACCATTCCAGTGCCAAACATGTAGTGCCGTCCTAGATCGGGATTTCTAAATGAAATTCTTTTCATTTTAATTCAATTAAAAAAATGGCTGGGAGTGATGACACACGACTTTAATCCCAGCACTCGGGAGGCAGAGAGACGCAGATCTCTGAATTCGTCTACAGATCTAGTTCTGGGACAACCAAGGTTACACAGAGAAACTCTGTCTCGAAAACAACAAAAACAAACAAAAATAGCGAGAGCCAGAATTCCCTGGAAACATAATTGATTTCCAAGGCTTAGGCGGAGAACACAAGGTAAGGGTGATGAATGGTCTTGCGGTCAACTGGACTGAAAGACACTTGCACTGCACTGAGATGAGTGTCTGTGAGAGTGCTCCCAGAGATCAAACCATGAGGGCTGACTAAGTGATGGGGTCAAAATCTGAACAGTCTGGAAAGCAGAGGAAAGACAGTGAAGCCTTGTTAAGGAACCATCTCACTGGGTCACGCCTTTGAAGCATGTTATTATGGCCCTGGACCACTTCTGTTACTCCCTTCACTTCCTGATTGCCTTGAAGTGAACAGTGCCCTTCCTCCAAGATGTTTCTGCCTTTTGATAGCCTAAAGGCAGTATCCAAAATCTCTGAAACTGTGAGGCAAAATTAAATTTTTCCTTCTTCAAACTGTTTCTCTCATAAGTGTGTCACAACAATAGTCTAATGAACAAAACTAGCATCCTGAAAGTCAAAAACATTTCTTACAATACTGAGAAAAAAAGCCAAGCTGTGGTAGCTCACGCCTTTAATCTCAACACTCAGAGACAGAGGCAGGCAGATCTCTGTGAGTTTGAGGGAAAAGGAAGGAGATGAGGGAGATGAGAGCAGAGCAGAACAGAGGAGGGGTGGAAAGAAAGCACACACACCCAAAAAAATAATAACACCATGTCAAAGGGTTGAGGGGGGCTATGGAAACAGATTAGTCAGTAAAACTACTTACTTTGAAAGAACAAGAACTTGAATTCAATGCCAAGAATTCACATTAAACATATACATGTGTATATACATGTACAAATACATATACATTATAGACATATATGTGTGTATGTGTGTGTATGGTGGCTCACACTTGTAATCCTAGCACCAGAGGTGGAAATCCACAGATTCTGGGGTTCACTGGACAGCAACCCTGCCTACTTCTCAAGTTCTAGGACAAGATAACCTATCAACAAATGAGGGGTGGGAACAAATGCCCGAGGAACGGCGCTTGAGGGTATCCTCCACATACATGTGTGCACATGTTCTCTCTGCATGCGCATTTGCATACAGATGGACACACACACACAGGAGCCAATCTAAAAGATACCCTATGGCTAAAAGTGGAAAACTATGACAACAACAGTAGATTATAATAAGCAGAAGGAAGGAAGTATCTGAGAACAACTTGATATAAATATGTTGAGGAAAGACAGCTCTCCCTTACAGGAAAATTCCCCATAAGAAATGAAGAAGGAATAAGGAAGATATGTACTATATTTGATCTTGGCCAAAAAGGTGATAAAGGAAATAGAAAAATCAACAAAAGAATTCAACCAAGATCCTCTAGCAGATGCCAAAATACTGAGCAAATATCTAACACCACCATGTATTAAGTTGGAGTTTGGCCAAGATACCTATAAATCATAAGGAGAAAATGAGTAACCATACAGGGGAATAAGCAAGAGATACTGCCTTAACCAAATAATCAGGCTGACATCATCAACAGTAACACATACACACACACGTTCCTTAGGGTTGAAGAACATTCTACACAAATTATCTAGTACTTTTCCACAGTGTCATGCCTATAAAAGCAGCTAGACTAAGAGGCATAACAAATAAATACAATGGAGAATCTTGGAATGTATCTATAGGTTAAAGTAGTACATCAAGGCTAGCTTCTTATTTTTGATAATCATACAGTCATTATTTAAGATATTAACATCAGAAGAAACTGAATGAATAATACATAAAAATTCTGCCCAATTTCTTTAAATTTTCTGACTTAAAAGTTATTTGGAATTGAAAATGTTATGACAGAGCAGACTATGGGAAAAGGGTGTGGCTTAGTGAAAGAGTTCTTCCTCGACACTTTCAAAGCTCTGGGTTCAACCCTAAACACTGTGAAAAACGGTGAACGGTAATGGAGGAAAAGGGAAAACAGTCAGGGAAGAAAATATGACAGCAATGTAATTAATTGACAATTATGGATATATCACCCAGGCTAGCCTCGAACTTCTCAGTTCAAAGGACCTTCCAGGGCCAGATGAGGTATCGAATACCTTTAATCCTAGCACCTGGCAGGCAGAAAGCAGTCTTTATGAATTTGAGGCCAGCCTAATTTACTGAGAGCATTCCAAGCGAGCCAGGGCTAAAACTACACGGTGAGACTCCCTCTCACTGTGTAAGAAGAAAAGAGAGAGAGCAAGCAGACAAAGAAATCCTGAGCCAGGCTTGGTAGTGCAGGCCTGCAATCCCAGCCCGCGGAAGACGATCTTTCAGGGTTCCTGCTTCATGAAAGAGTCTGCGAGACATTCTGCAGGACACAGAAGAAAGTGACTGACAAACTGCCAATATAGGCGGAACTGTCTTTGAAACATTATTTTGAGTGAGGTAACCCAGACACAGAAAGACAATTATAAGCAAAATGGATGGATCTAGAAAACATTATTTTGAGTGAGGTAACCCAGACACAGAAAGACAATTATCACATGTACTACTCACTCATAGGTGGTTTTTAAACACAAAGCAAAGAAAGCCAGTCTACAAACCACAATCCCAGAGAACTTAGACAACAATGCAGACACTAAGAGAGACTTACATAGATCTAATCTACATGGGAAGTATAAAGTAGAAAAAGACAAGCTCTCCTGAGTAAATCAGGAGCATGGGAACCTTGGAGGAGGGCTGAAGGGGGGACGGGAGAGGCAGGGAGAGGAGCAGAGAAAGATGTAGAGCTCAATAAATATCAATAAAATAAAATAAAAAAGATTGGAGAAAAAAAACTAGGTGAGCGGGAGACATAAAAAGGGAACATAAATACACTGCTCTGTCTGTACTTAAGAGTATTCATTAAAATTGTGGGCTCAGAAAAAAAACAGAATAAAGATTTTTCCAGTTATACATAAAAAGGGTGGATAAAAGGAAAACAAAAGTTATCTAATAGGGCTGGAGAGATGGCTCAGTGGTTGGGAGCATTGCCTGCTCTTCCGAGGGTCCTGAGTTCAATTCCCAGCAACCACATGGTGGCTCACAACCATCTGTAATGAGATCTGGCGCCCTCTTCTGGCCTGCAGGCACACATGGAAGCAGAATATTGTATACATAATAAATAAATATTAAAAAAAAAGTTATCTAATAAATAATCATTATGTAAATCAGGTTACTATTTCACTTAAATCACAAAATGCCAGGGGAAGGGAAACCACACTTTTTTAAAAGATGAAACTGGGCTGGAAAGATTGCTCAATGGTTAAGAGCACAGATTGCTCTTCCAAAGGTCCCAAGTTCAATTCCCAGCAACCACATGGTGGCTCACAACCATCTATAATGAGATCTAGTGCCCTCTTCTGGCCTGCAAGCATATATGTAGGCAGAACACTATATAATAAATAAATAAATAAAATCTTAAAGAAAAATAAATTAATTAAAAGATGATCTTAAAAACTTATTGTATAAAGTAAAAATTAAAACTGTTTTTGCTAGTTTTGGCTTATAGAATAAATGAATTAAAATTTTTTTTTCTCTCTTTTTGGTTTTTCGAGGAGGGTTTTTCTGTGTAGCCCTAGCTGTCCTGGAACTCACTCTGTAGACCAGGCTGGCCTTGAACTCACAGAGATCCACCTGCCTCTGCTTCCAGAGTGCTGGAATTAAAGGCCACCACTGCTCAGCTCTTTTTAGTATAATTAAAAATATACTATTAAACTTTAATCAGTGTTTTGGGGAAAATCCCAGCACTCAGGAGGCAGCCGCAAGCGGATCTCTATGAGTTTGAAGCCAGCTTGGTCTACAAAGCTAGTTCCAGGACATCCAGGACTGTTACACATAAAAACCCTGTCTGAAAAAAACAAAATAATAATAATAAAATATAAATATAATATATATATTATTCAATAATATACATATATAATATGTACAATAATATATATAATATTAAAAAAGTAAAATGTTATTGGCTCAGTGATTTCAAAGTTGATAAACACATTAACACATACCTCCTGTAAATCAGGTGATGATGACTTTTTTCTTTTTCCCTCTGTGACAATCTCTACGAAAACCAAAGACATAATAAAAATTATTATTTAACATCTAAATGACACAATTTAATGAACAGGATCCTTTTTATATCTATCCTTTATTTACAATTAAAAAACACTGATGTTTTACAGACACTAAAGAGCCAAAGTTTGTCGTGTGTCAGTGTAACAGACTACCAAAAATATCTCCAGTAAACATATGCACAAGGACAATTTAAAATGAAAGAACTAGACCAGCAGTGGACGTGCACGCCTTTATTCACAGTACTCTGAAGGCAGAGGCATGCAGATCTCTGTGAGTTCAAGGCCAGCCTGGTCTACAGAGCGAGTTCTAGGACAGACAGCAATTTCACAAAAAAATCCTATCTCAAAAAACCAAAAAAGAAAGAAAAAACTAAATAAATTTTCAGATGATTTGGAAAATTCTTATGATGGAGAGCAGAGGTGAAATTATCTAGATGTTGGCAGTATTCTACAAAAATATTTCCCTCAAGCTCTATCACACTCACACACATGCTGCACAGACAGAAATACTTTAACTCTTTACTCATCAACATTTTCCAGACTTCCTGTGGGGTTTTCTTATATGAAATCTCTCATTCAAACAGCAATTATTTACTTAATGGCTATCATATGCTCCTCACTGTGCTAACCAATGAATATAAATAACATTGAGCAAATCAGACACAATCCAAGATGTTTTAGCAAGTATAACCCATAGCATGGTAGAACACACCTTTAATCCTAGCACTCAGTACGAAGAGACAGATGGATCTCTATGAGTTCAAGGCTAGCCTGGTGGTTTACATAGCAAGTTCCAGGACAGCCAGGGCTAATGGTGAGATCCTATTCAAAAATAAGAATTGTAATCTACTGAATTATATAGATTTCATAATAAAAATGAATGGTGGTATATACATACATAACACCAAGTCATCTACTTGTGACATATTACTACAGTTCAGTAAGAAATGTGTAGCGAGCTGCGTGAAGCCACACCTGATGGAGATGTATAATCAACTCCTATGGCTAAAGTCTGACTTATGCTATGATTGTCAGCTACTTGCATATGCGTGGACCTATGAGCAGTGCCCACCTGGCAATCCAGGGTTGGTTGTCCATGCCTACTTAAGGGCTGGGAGAGGTTTGCCCAAAGAGAGAGGAAGGAAAGAAAGGGGGGGGGGAGAGATACAATTGTTTAAAAAGGCCCTGAATAAACTGCTAGCAGGAAGAGCTCCTGTGGTCACATCATCCTTGTGGGTCGAGGGTGAACACGACAGTTGGTGGCCCGTACGGGGACAAGCGTACGGGGAACCTCCAAACCTCTCTCCGTGGAGCCCAGAATTGGCTGCAGTCAGGGGGTGCACCGGATAATCCTCAAGGTAAAGATTGGGGATCCGCGACAAAAAGCGGGTTTTCCACTCTCGCCGGTAGAAGGGAGAGTGGGGGTAATAGGGCCGCGACTATAGCGGACGGGTCAAAGTGAGAGCCACGACCAAAGTGGACAGTTTAAAATGAAAATAAAAGGAAGAATAGGATTTTAGAATGGACGCTTCAACATCACACCTGATTTCTCCGGCTCTTAACAAGCTGTTACGGAGCGCTTTGGAGAGGTTTTTGGCTGAAGGTGACACAATTGCTTCTTGGTTTGCCGTCTCTGGCAATCTTAACGTGTCATCCTGGGATAAGCCTGGTAGAGATCTGGATTTTGCCACCGAACAAGGTACACTAAGGAAGGGAGTTATATTCATGTGGTTTGAATTACCGAGACCCCCTGAGTTTGCAGTGGAGTGTGAGCAGCTGTGGCTCCAAGGCCAAGCAGCGCTGAGGGTCTGGGAAGCTGCAAACACCAGGGACCTGCCTCAGGGCATAGAAGCACAGCACACGATCTGTTGGCCTGAACCTTAGTCCCAACCCAGGGCAACCAACTGGCTGCTCCACGCTGCCACGCCTCCACCTTACAGCTCAGTGAGGAGGTGGAGCCTCTGCCTCTCCCCTGTCGCTGCAACCTGAGTCCCAGCAGTAGATTGTAGTAAATACCTTTAAGAATACAATGTCCCCGCTCAGCAGGAAGTAGCCAGAGAGATTGACAACGCCCAAATTCCCTATAAGATAATTTAAGTGGGGCCCCTTCAGAGCAGCAAGCCTGCTTTCTCCTGAGTTCTGCTCCACCCTTTAGTGGTTGCGAGCAGCCTGCTTTCCTGAGTTCCGTTCCACTCCAAGCACCAGTTTGGGCCTGGAGTGGGTGCGGCTGAGGCAGGAAGGCAGCTGGAGCAGAGCTGGAGCAGAGCTGGAGCAGAGCTTTGCTAGGTGGCTGTGGTGGAAGGCACATTGCCTCAGCCCAGTTGGTGCCTAGCCTGGCGGATGCCACAGCAGTGCCAAGAGTATCAGCAAATGCAACAACAAGTGCTGGAGCTGAGACCCCACAGGGCTGCCCGAGAATGCAGTGTAGCTGCAGGGCAAGGAAAAGACAATGGCAGTTTCAGGCTCTGCACACCACTGAAGAGTCTGCGGCAGAGCAAATTTAAATCAAGAGACTGCCCTATTGTAGGAGCAGGTACCTGTGTGCTTTGTTTTAGCCAAAGGGTTGGTAGAATACCATAGCCCAAATCGGAGGTTGGGTACAGTGGTGATTGGGAACCCTACTGCTAGCAATCTTAACACCTGTTGCCATGGGCATTCATCTTTGAATCCTGTGTGAGATCAGACAACCCATGAGAATGCAGCACATGGTCACTTAGCAGAAGCAGGATCAGCTGAGCTGCTAGGGAAGCCAAAGAGGTGCGCGAGGGAGAAGGTGTCTCCCATGCACTCAGCTGACAAGAATGAATGTGCCACGGGGGTATGGCAGCTTGGGTAGGGGAAGGAGCAGTGATTTCTGACTGCTCCTGGAGTCTGGGGCCATGGCAGAGCCACTCCTAAAAGTCCTGAGTCTGAAACAGTCACAAACCTCTGTTCACTTAAGGGGAAGAGGGTGTGTGGGAAATAGTAGGATATGGGGGAAAAAAAGGACCCAGGTAAAGAGGCAAGTCTATACCCTAGTCTGTCAGACATTTCTATCCATCCGGGGCTGTGTGTGACCAACATTCAATATGACTCATGCAGCTAATCTGTCTAAAGAATTGTCTAGATATCTTTTAGGTAATTGGTCTGGTGAATTCGAACAACAACTGGAAAAGCTGCGGGTGACAATTGTGACTGCAGATTCCACACGCATGGATACTAGCCTGGCAGAAGAACTATCTTCCTGGATCACTCCATGGATCATCTGAGGGAGTGGGCGGGAATAGGAGCCCTGGCAGGCTTAATGGTGCTTGCCTCCCTGGTATGCCTAAGGTGCATTTGTCACATAAGGGTTTCACAGCACCGCAATGCAGTTATGATCATTCAAGCCTTCATGGCTATTGAAGCAGGACAGTCCCTTCAAGCTTGGTTATCTATATTTGAGCACAGAATGCGAGGCTTGCGCACTGCACTTGAGGTAAGCATACATCAACCTCAAGAAGAGCAAGTCTGATTGCATGTGGGTTGGTGTCTAACTCCCACCTCTGTAAAAAGGCACTGGACAGGACTAGTGTTCTCTGAGTGGATGACACCTGGACAAACACTAGTACATGTTTCATTTTTAACAGAGATCAGACCTCTACTCTTACCTGTTGCTTTACAAAACAAAAGGGGGAACTGTAGCAAGCTGCGTGAAGCCACACCTGATGGAGATGTATAATCAACTCCTATGGCTAAAGTCTGACTTATGCTATTATCACGAAATGATTGTCAGCTGCTTGCATATGCGTAGACCTATGAGCAGTGCCCACCTGGCAATACAGGGTTGGTTGCCCATGCCTACTTAAGGGCTGGGAGAGGTTTGCCCGAAGAGAGAGAGGAAGGAAAGAGAGAGAGAGAGAGATACAATTGTTTAAAAAAAGGTCCTGAATAAACTGCTAGCAGGAAGAGCTCCTGTGGTCGCGTCATCCTTGGTCATCCTTGCGGGTCGAGGGTGAACGCGACAGAAATGGATGATTTTTCTAATAAATAATGAAGCAATTCGGGGGGTTGAACATTTGAACACGTGTGTGGATATGTGGGGTGTCTTGCACATATGGGGAGAACAGGAGGACATCAGGTGTCCTGTTCGTTGCACTCTGCCTTATTCTTTTCAGGCTAGGTCTCTCACTGATCCTGGAATGGGGCCAGCAGCCAGCGAGCCCATGATCCTCCAGTCTCTACCCACAAGAACTGCTAGCATTACAGGTGCACACAGCTACACTAGGCTTTCTATGACGATGTTGGAAATTGGAACTTAAATTCTTATGTTTGCATAGTAAGTATCACATCAGACCCAGGGAAACAATGGGATAACCGAATGGAACTTAAAAAAACATTAATTACAAATGGGTCATACCTCTAAATGACAAAGGTAAAGCAAGGTTTATGCAAGAAAAACTAGGATATTTTCAAAGCTTTAGAGGAGGCAAAGATTTCTCAAATAGTACACAAATATTACCATAAATTAAAAGATCAATAAAGTGGGCTTCATTTAAGTTAAAAATTTGGTTTAGCAGAACTCATCATTACGACAGTAAAGAGCAAAGTCTCATACTAGAACACAAATTCTAGTATATTATTTGTCAAAGAACTCATAAGCAGTATATACAAGGAACTCCCTGGGTTGGGGCATGTACTTGCAGCAGAACACATGCTAGCAAGACAGGGGAAGGCAGGAAAGAAGAAGAAAGGGAGAAAAAGGAATAAGTACAATAAAATTCAATTTTTAATTAAACAAAAGCCTTGAATAAGCATTTTGAGATATGTATATATCCAAATAATCAAGATACAACCACTAGGGAAATGGCAATTAAATGGAAATTCATAACTCAATAAATAAAATTTAAAAGATTAACATTACCAAATATTGGTGAAAGAAAAGGCTCTGCCAGTAAAAGTTAAATGTGTGTATCTGCTTTGCCAGTGTCTAGTGAGATATTCACCTGCCTACCTTCAATACCTAACA